TACAAAATGAACAAATCTGAGAGAGGTCCACATTTAGTACCTATATATGTAATATCAAAGCAATTGCACTTGCGTTTTTTAACAAGAAGTCGAAAATATCACTTTTTACCAAAAATGACAAAAATATTCACCAAAATTAGAGAATTGAAGATATCAACATGAAATGAACAAACCTAAGAGAGGTCTACCCAAGGTACATATACACCAAGTATCAAAGCATTCAGGCTTGTAGTTTTCAAGAAGAAGTTGAAAAAGTAAAACATTGACACGGACGACGACGACGACGACGGACAATCACTTATATGATAAGCTCCGCTCGACAAAGTCGACAGCGGAGCTAAAAATAGATAGAAAAAATACATAAAACAGGCAAAGCATTGTACCAAAATGTTGGTGGGGAAAATTATGTCATTCAACAATTCCAATTTCAAGAAAAAAATTAAGATGAGGAAAGAGTTCCTGTTATCATGAACCTACAAATCATGTCCAAATTGTCACTAACTGCATCTATCCTACATTGTTTTTAATAAATGTGTGTGTTTCTAAAAGCAGATGTATTGGTAACATGATTAAATTTTAAAGACAATTCAATCAGTGGTCTTCACACAATCCATAAACTTAAAAAATTAGCCACTAGTCATGAACGGAACAAAATCACACTGTGTGGCCAAGTTGAGATTGGGTAAATTTTAGAAATAGTGTCGCACACACAAGCAGATTTAAAACACACAAACATTTTAAATTTTATTTGAAACTACCAGAAACATTCAAATTAAAATAATTCCTAATTATCCATCATAGATGTACTAAAAAAATATTTTGAGAGCCAAGAAGTCAAACATTGAATTAGAAAAAATAAAGCAGAAATAAACAAATTAGAGTGTAGGATTCTTGTACATTGTCATGAAAAACAAAAAACAAGACTCCAGAAGAACGTGGCCATCAGATAAATAATGGTACTGCATATGCACTACCATATCTGCAGATATCTAAGCTTTCAGAAGATGTATAGGTTGTTATAGTAGCATGCTTAGTAACTTTTGAAGAATGATTAAATCAAATATAAATTTTTAACTTTTTTTTTGTTACTGTAATTTATATTTGCTATTTTCGCTGAAGGGATGATTCAGTGAAAATAAAATCCAGTGAATATACCTTTTTTTCTATATTTCACATTCAACTCATCAAATATCAGCGAAAACCCAAAAAGCCTTTTCAGCGAAAATTAATTCCAGTCAAAATAAAGTATTTTACAGTACTACCTTAAGATTGATTAAATTGTCACAGATGTAAAGAATCAAAACATATACTATAATTGACACGGAATAAAAGGTTATCAGCTGTATCCGAAAACAAACAATTTATTATACTCACACTTTGTGGATGAAAATAAATTATTGCATCTTTTAAATCGTCTTCTTCGCATTTCATAGCAGAGTGATCATATATGAAGAATATCTGGGGATCTAGTCTGCAAAAAAATAACACTTTACAAGTTAAGTTTATAATTTAGTACACAAAGTCAGTAAACTGAAACATTTGATGCACTTATGTAAACAACATGTTTACATACATGTAGTTAGCATTACTAGATAAATATGAGCTTTTAGTCTTTAATAACCCACAAAAATAAATAAAATTTTATCAAATTTCTCACAATAGTCAAAATGAATAATGATTTTTATAGTATTAAGCAGGTCAAGGTAGAAACCTACTCTTAAATGAAAATAGCCAGAATTTAATTATTTTGCAATAAATTGTACTTCAGGACAATATAAGGATACTGACTTAAAAAAAGTTGTGGATCACCAGCTTAATTTTCAAGAAAATCATGGTTGTATTTTAGTGGATAGTGGCCATTTTGACAGTATTATAACGCTATTACCAAAGGTTCCTATGGCAGAGATGTTATCATGCCATATCTCAAATTGTCGGCTGATGGGGTACTTATTACTCTTTATTATTGTCCTAAATTATTTCAAACATTAGGGTTTTAAAAACTGTGGAACTCACAGTTACATAAAACATGACGTCGGATCGGCACGCACGTAATATTATAAAACAATCGCTCGATTGTGGACTGGACAACACGGGGCACAGTGCAAATTACGACAATCTTGAAACCACACACAATTCTAGATGGTTGTACCGATACTTAGTCGGGTTACTGGACGTTTTACAATAAACAGATCTGATTTACGCAGATGAAATTTAGTGATCGGCGTAAAAACAATGCCACAGTTTACTTACCTGCTGTCCGCCATCTTGATCGACATCACATGACTAAGAACAAAAAAAACGTCGATGTCAAAAGTTCAAAGTTCGTTATTGACGACGCCGACTAACCAATGGTGGCGCACTTACTATATCGAAAATGTTGGCTGGGACGCTGAAAGTATGCTTTCCTTCAACGATCTCGGAATTGTTTCTTCGAGCATTAAGCGGAAAACTTATAAAAAAAAAAACTTACACGAAGTCTGTACCTAAATAACCAACTTCTACACATTTATACATTTTTGTTTCGGAAATACTTTTTCTAATAATTCTTTTATACATGATGCATTCGTCAAGAAATTTGTGATCTAATTTTTCTTCACTCGTGACATTCATGTGTTCTAAAAATCCTTAAATCCACACGGTTTTCAAATTGTGAGCCCCCCCTAGTGATTTTGAGGAAGGATTAAGCCCATCTGCTAAAACATAAACACATTGTTTATACACGTTTAGTATATATTCTCACAGACAGACCGGAACAGGAAGTCAGTAGAAGACAAAAGACTTTTTCGTTAGCTTGGGAACAACAGAGGTGTTAATCCGAAAATTCATTGTCTTTTCCTGTTTGTGATTGGTCCTGGCAACGTTTGGGGGATCGTGACGTAGTAGCTCCGACTGCGAGAATATGTATACTTATTCTCATTCTGAATATTTTCTATACATATTTCCGTGCAAGCATTACAAGACAAAAAAGAACGTATTTCTTTAGGTTCTAACAAATAAGGACCGCAGACTTCACAAAATAAAAAAAATGGCAACGTTCGCTAAATATTGTTACCCCTTCGTTTTGCCCAGGTCTCTGACGTCATATTTCTGTACTAGCCAGTCGAGGAAGAATGTGTAAATGTGTACTTAGAATGATATCCATTGTTTTGGTTTTTGAATATTTTTTTTTTACTTTAGCTTCCCTAATTTAGAACAAAAGTACGAACGTTTATGCATCTATTTTGGTTAACTTTGTTAGATCGTAGTCTTTAAAAAGCCATAAGAGCAAAGAATGTTCAAATCCATTTGTTTTCACTAATATAATATTGACTGCCCAAAACTTTGCTTGGCTTCCTGCTCTATGAACAAAAATAGTTGAATTATTCATTGATATGTAATGCTTTTTTTTTTACAATTTGTAGCCTACCTAAGGTAGTTTCCAAGAGAGGCGTCGGATTTGAGTTGTCTGTGGAGGCTTATTTTTTGTGTCTTTTTAGTTATTTTTTAAATTATTTGACTCCAATGAGTATCCAACTCTTGGAGTGTGGCTACCGGTAGTTTCAATGCCACTCATTGTCTGTCTCATCATGTGAGTCGTCACCTGACTTTTACAGCTGGTGGCGTTTTTTTAATTTTTATTTTGACGCTGTTCAACAGTCCATATTAGAACGGGGAAGATGCTTCCGACAAGTACACTGACTGCTGTCACACTGTTTACCGTTGTTTCTGTAGTCACCGGCGATGAAAGGCCGAATTTTATTATTTTATTCGCAGACGACATGGCTTGGGGTGATCTTGGTGCGAACTGGAACCTCCCCAAAACGGCTTCAGACACGCCAAATTTGGATGAGCTCTCTGAAGGCGGAATGAGGTAATGTGGTTGCGGTGACGCTGACGGCGATAACACGAGTATCGTTACATGTAGTATATCGGGTCATGAACTGGGTCACGGTTATGGCTACTGAGATTTGATTTGGGCATATATGTTGTCAAGGTGTCCGACGAATAGACAAAGGGGGCAGAGTACAGAGTACAAATGAGGTTCAAATGCTGATTGATTGTTGGCCTGGGTGATGTTTACACTGTAAGCCCCCAGCCAGTTACTAGCTACTTAGACACGTTCACATATGACCTGGACTGTGACGGTCCCGGGACATAGTCCTATCCCTCAACACTGTGCTCGGCAACAGTATACACTTCCCCGGAAGTCGAAGATACGGCGTTTCACATGCCGTTTTCGCGTGTAACGTAAACTTGTACGCGTGATATTGTACTTGGGATATACAAATCGACGTCACAAAAATAAGATTTCCTTTTATCGAATATTAACAGACTGACATACTACTATTTGCACCATTAAAAAGGCGGGTGTCGTGCTTCACCCAACCCCTACTTCCGGGAAGATCGGTGGTAACACCATTGTGTCAACACAGGTGGCGCTATTCATTATATCGGTTGGTTTGCGGCGATCTGCGTGTCAATGTGGTAACACCTGTGGTTAGAGGGCGCTACTTATTGATCACCCTTGCAGTGCTGCCGAGTGTTGCCAGTGTTTCGGGGAAAACTGCATTCAAATATGTCTACATTCTACAAAGGTAGAAAAAAAACCTGCTCTTCGCATGACATCCGCTACATGTACCATTATCCGCCATACTCGTGTAGTTTCTGTTAAAACTTTGTTTTAGACCAGAATATGGCGGTCAGACCTCTTCCAAGTTGAGTTCATGCACGGTTACTAAAAAAGACGGTTAGGAAACGCCATTGTTAAAAGGTGTGAATCTGCCTAATCCCTCAAGGATGCGTGTCGCGCTGTGTACGCCCTCTATTGCTTGAGATTTCAAGGTCCACCATTTTGTTTCATTTTTGTGTCGATCACTTGATGTTCATCTTTTTTAGTAACCGTGGTTCATGTGAGTAAAAAGCTGAAGTCATTCTGAAGCTAAAATACCACTTTCCCGGAAGTATCGAAACTTGGTGCAAAATACTCCCGCTTTGTCATGGCGGAAATATAACATTCTAGGGGAGAAATTCCCCCTTACAGGTCACACCCTACCTTAGAAATATCGCGAATACAATATACTAGCTATTTGTTAAAAGCCAGTCTAGCCACACTTGTTTTGGGACGTCTCGAATACGGTTACTAATTAGTAACCGTGGGTGGAAGTACCTAGTGGTACATATTTTTACACTTGTCCAGGAAAGTTTTTGAACAACCCCGGGTACATTTCCCTAATAGTATCTGAAACCTCAGACTTGTAATATATGTATTACTAGTCTGAGGTGGAACAGATGTACACGCACCACGTGTTTATTGTATTTTTACATTATTTCACAGATTTACAGACTTCCACGCGGCGGCGTCTATATGTTCACCGTCGCGTGCGTCCCTCCTGACTGGTCGCCTGGGAATCAGAAACGGAATAACACAACTGGTTCCATCAGCCGCCGTAGGGGGCCTTCCACTGAATGAAACAACATTTGCCGAGGTGCTTCACGATGCTGGTTACAGCACGGCAATGATAGGTGAGTGAAATATGGCGAAATACACGCTTCCTGTGAAACGGAGAAAGCAGCGTCGTCAAAAAAGTTATCTTCAGATATATAGTCGTTTGTCATTTAGAATATACTAGTAAATCTCTCAAAAAACTTTAGTTTTATTGACGCGCGACCGCAGATCAGAGCGTTGTTGCCCTTTTCGTTTACGTCGTAGAAGTACTTTGCCCCTAGAGGGCGCGAATTCTCCGAAAGATGTATTTTTTTTTTACCTTTACGGGAACATTTTTTTAACTTCCGGTTTTATTCTTGTTTCCCCTGTATTCCAGGTAAATGGCATCTTGGAAATAATGGGAGTTTCCATCCAATCAACAGAGGTATAGTTGATATGTTTCTAAAATGTGAATTACGGACTTTGGTTGTTGCGCAGATCTATGAGTACAGAATGAGATGTTGCCAAGGTTTCATGAGATAATTCTCTGATGATTGGATCGCGTCGACGACGAATAATCCAAAAAGTTTAAGTTTGTATTTAGAGCACGTCGCATCCACATCAAAACACGCGTTCGTGCTGATCACTGTCTCGAACATGCATAGGAAGATATATTATGCAGCGTATATTTTTTTTATTATTTTGCAGTTTTTATTACATATATCTTTGTATTATTTCAACAATCACAATGTGGTCTTTCGCGATTACCAGCACTTTGAATACACTGCCAAAACATAATTTATGATTCCCAAAATATGATATATGAAAAATATATAATTGAATAGATATTTTAAAAACAACAACACATTTCTTATTCAGATTGAATCTCTGGCCGTCCTTCAGAATAATTATCATTTTTTTTTTTCATTTATCGTGACAGGATTTGACTATTATTTTGGTCTACCGTTCAGTCCTGACTCTGGGTGTACCGACGTGCCTGGAAGGGACATACCATCTCGGAATCCATGTCCAAAGGATCTCCGCTCCTCGACGCCGCTTTCGGGCCGTAGTGGTAGGTACTGCGCATGCTCGACTCGGAGCATCTTATTACCAATTTAAAATAGCGCATGTATGAATTGTCCAGTCATTGTCCTCGTTAATATTTGTATCGTTTTAGCTGTTTTTGTTTGTTTGGACTTTTGTTGCAAACTGTGTTCTTAAAATAATTAACAAAATATCACGTGATATTTATGGGGTTTAGGCATTTGTGGTCAAATAAAACGATCAGTTGTATTTATTATTCGTCCCAAGTGAACGTAATCGTACCTCATATTTGATGCGCTCTGTTGTCGGTCTCGGAGACTTCAGATAGATGATAGGTTATTATGTATAGTACCGCTTGCTGTGTACGTGTAGAGGGACTGTGGTAAAACTAATCTATCTGACGGTGACTATTCATCGTTTTATGTAGATTACGACAGTTTCGAAGATTGCACAGGTAATAGTGGGTACGCCTTACCACTGTATGAAAATTACACTGTAGTTGAACAGCCGTTGGACCTATGGAATCTTTCAGCTAGTTATGCTGAGAAAACAGTAAACTTTTTAAAACAAACGTGAGTATCCGAAAGAGTAAACATAAATAAAAAAAATATACCATGATGTATACAGATGACGTAAAATCACTAATTGTTCTGTTTTTTGTTCGTTCGCAGCCAAAATAGCGATAAACCATTCCTCATGTATGTTGCATTCACTCACATGCATGTGCCCCTGGGTCATGGGTCAAAGTTCACGAATATGTCGGTCAACGGATTCTTCGGTGACACCTTGCGAGAAATGGACAATATTGTCGGTGACATCATGTCTACACTGCGAGCCATTGGTAAAGAGGACAACACGATGGTCTGGTTTACTTGTGAGTCGAAACATAGTGGTCGAAATAAACCATACCTTGACACACAGTCCATCTATCATGCGATGGAGGGGCTGTGCTTGACATGGATGAACATGATGGTTACAGTTTAAATAATTACATGCAAAATATTTCACTGAATATTATAATGACGTACTCGTAAGAGAATATTTATTTTTTAGTATAGAGGGGGCAAACAATTGAATACATTATGTAATACATAAGTCCGAAAACAAAACAAATAAACAAATGACTGAATATTACAACAACAACAAATCACTACAAAACGTGTACCTGTTTTTGTTGCAGCTGACAATGGCCCATGGGTAATCAAGTGTCAGTATGCTGGCAGTCAGGGACCTTACATTGGTAAATGGCAAGAAATATATGGTACGTACCATAAATAAATTATTCACCAGCAATCTGTCTCTTTTCATAGTTGTTATTTGTGTTTTCATCAGTATAAGAAATCGTTATTTAAATAATAATATACTGATCATTATGATATAAATGTGCATTGATAATTAATAAAATATGATAATGAATGTAAATACATGTATACAAATGGCATCATTGTATTGGAATTATTCTATCGGACCCAATTACATGTACGTCTTTCGCTCGTATGATAGGAGGTGGTGGAAGCACTGGAAAGCTGACCCCGTGGGAAGCAGGTCACCGTGAACCGGCGTTAGTTTACTGGCCTGGGCGTATAAAACCAGGGCAAGTATCGGATTCTTTACTCAGTGCAATGGACATATTCCCTACCATAGCAACCATAGCTGGTGTTGCCATGCCTGCTAATAGAAAGTTTGATGGTATAGATATCACAGAAGTGTTATTCGGTGGTAAACGAATCTATGATGGGAGGGTAAGTTTAAGGCATAATTTCATCAACGGTCATTTTTTTAATTATTGTTGCGTATAATTACCATTTTTGACCCAAATACCGATGATTCAATGGCACAGAGTCGCACAACTGTCAGGAAACATGACTCGCGTGATCATTGTGTAGCCTCGCGCGATTATGACGTAACATGACGCGTGCTCGCGTTATTACGGGTAACCTGGACAACTGGGTGTACCAATATGATTTAATCAAAAAGTGTATTTAGAACTATGCAGGTTTTGTAACAGTTGCACTTTTTTACATTATTAAATACCAGAATTCTTTGCTCTTATAATTTTTACAAGAAATAAATGTGGTTAATTTTTCTTTAATGATTGAAATCATTTGGATATAATCAATGGATTTTCAAAGGAATATACTATAAATTATGTGCGCTTTAAATAACGGCATGGAACAACCTAATCACTAGTCTACCAAATGAACAACAGTTAATTTGACATCAATTTATAATCGGAGCATGACTGTATCTTCATATTTGTATTTCCGTATTAGGCGTTATTTCATCCAAACAGTGCCTCGTCTGGTACCATGGGTGACTTAAATACTGTACGAGTAGGAAGGTACAAGGCGCTATATCTCACAGGTATGTACCAACTTGTATCTAATATGTATGAAAATTATTGAAATATTTTATGTTTTGACATTTTCAAGGTTTCTAGTGTTATTTACAACAGGACACAACACCCTGTTGCCGATCTTGTCGATTATAGCAT